AGTATACATGTTGTTAAACTTGTTTGTCTTTCTCCTGTTTATCAGTCCAGCCTTTTATTACTGGAGGGAAAAGTACTTTCCTCCCCCACACTCGCTTAAGAATGAAAACAGTGAGGTAGTAGCAGGGTTGGGCTGGGAACCCAGGCCCAGTAACTCCTAATCCAGTGCTCCTACTCCATATCAGGCTTTCATCCTCAATTTAGATAAATAATGTTTTACTTATTCCTGACACTTGTCCAACAAAGGTATTGAAATATGCCCTTTGATATAGAAATGTAACCCATGTAGGCATATATGGTCAATAAAGAAGCATGGTCAATCCATGCACAATTATGCATGAATATCCGCTCATGCAGCCAAAAGGGGGGAAAAACACAAAACAAAGTACAGCAAAGCAAACATAGGTTATGATATAGCTCCAGGTTGGTAGATGTTGGTACTGTACCAAACTACACTGAAATTTGACTTCAATAGGTGAGTCCTGTGCTCACACTTCTTATAATAGAGATGCAGCTACACACCTTCTGTTAACCATTAACGACTGTTCCACAGCAATCTTTCCGAGTATTCTGAATCAAAGGACAAGGGTAGAGATGGGGTGCACTTACCTTTTGGATTTGCCCTGTAGATGCATAAACCAGAAAGTTAAGGGCTGGAATAAGCATTGGGTGGCATACATAAGACGGTCTTTTCCTCCTCCTCCTTTTCAAAGGGAAGATCAGAGTCTGATTATATAGAAATCTGATAGGGCTCTTTGTTGCTTAGCTTTACTTTGAATAATTCTAGTGGCTTGAGCTTGTCTAAGCCTTGAAAGTTACTGAGACCTTCATTTGAATTTGACATGGTAGAAGGATTTGACTCCCTTCTCAACCCCTTTTCCAGGACTCCCAGGGCTTTCCATGTTCTTTTTCTAGTTATTATCTAGGATTGTTCTTATGAAGGGGACCAACATGGAGGGTATCACTCCTTGTCCCTTAAACCAGGTTGTTGGATATAGCATGACTATCACTAAGAAGTGCGCGCGCGACACACACACACACACACACACACACACACACACACACACACACACTATGGTTTAATTGAATTCCAAACTGACAACTTTAGAAGTGACACAGCTTGTACCTGAGTGTAGGAGATGCTCTCAGTTGATTTAATTAACTAGGTGGTGTTTTGTTCAGATGCTAGAAATATAAATATGCAAAATAAAAGCGCTGGTTCCTTGCAAGGTCCTCTCACTCTATGCAGTCTTCCTAACAAGAGGTGTTCCTGTAATCGTGCCTCTGATTAGTTATCTCTGGTGAGCAAGGCAGAAAATAGTGGCTGGTGAGCAATTAATCAAATCAGGATCACCAACTTCTCTTTTGTTACTGTTTCTTTCTCTCTGACCAACGCATGCTGTTTCACTGGCTTGCTAAATGGCAGTCATTTTAATTTGTTCATTGGGTTTAGATGAGCAAAATATAACAGCATATATTGCGGTTGTTCAAAACTAAATTAACTGGGCAAATTTGAAGATCTAATTGGTGTTATTAAATGATTCATGACGATTCAAGTCAGCCCCGGTAATGACGACTTTTCATTAGCTAAGCTGTAACATTTTCCACTGGCTGGGCTTGTTGCTGAGCAAGAAGAAAATCTTCCTTCCTCTTAACAGGGATACTAAAGTAGATATATTTTCCTGTTTGGGGTAAAGCATGAGAGCTCCCTCTGTTGGCCTTCTCAACACCCATTTTAATAGAGATTTCCTTCATTAGCTTCCCAGTATGACTAGATGAGGTTTTCCCCATGTTGTAACATTTTCAAATGCATTTCCAGTGAGGTGAGCTTTAGTTAGCTTTAACTGGTTTTCCTTAGTTACAGTTTTTTTTCCCCTTCTAATCTGTATACAAATATAATATTGATTTTCTAGTATATTATACAGGATTTTTTTGGTTGCAGATAATGGCTGGAACCCAAGTAAAACTGGCTTATAGAGGAACAAAAGGAATTTGTTGGCTCATTCAAATATAAACCTGTTTTAAGACACTGCTGAATCTTAAGCCTCAAACTATGTCATCAGGTCACTGTATTCTGTATGCTGCAACTCTGATTTCCTTTGGGTTAGCTTCATTCTCAGGTTCTCCCCAAAAGTGGCAATGATGATCACCAATAACTTCAAACGGAACGTCTGTCAGTTTAGCAACATCAGGGGAAAGAGACTCTGCCTAGCAAAAATCCCAGGTGTAGCTTTTACTAGTCTAGCTGATGAGCTAATTAACTAGCCAGGGAATGGACTCTTCTGATTGGCCAGTCCTGGTCATATGCTTGTGACTAGAGCTAGGCATTGAGGCAGGGGAGGGGTAGTTCTGCAAATGAAAATCAAGGTACTGTTTCCTGAGAAAGAAGGCATCGATGATTACAGCAAGTGTCCACTTTCATCAGGAGATTCCCTTGCTCTTGTGGGAGGAAGTGTGATATGATGAGAAGAACTATGCAAGAGTTTTGGAATTCACAGCCCTGGATTCTATTCCCACTTTGGTCAAGGGTCAGCTGTGAGACTTTGGCAAGTCAATTAACCTCTTTGATCTTTAGTCTCTTCATCTAACAATAGAGATAAAAACTCAGAGGTTGGAAGAGAAGGAAAAGGGATAGTGTTTGGCACTTGTTAACACTTTGTAAAGGGTAACTTAATAAAACGAAATGGTTTCGCATGTTTTAAAATCATAGTATTGTACTCTGGGATGATTCATACATTACCTCCCAGTGAGAAAGTCACAAATTCTCAAACCTCAGTTTCCTCTTTTGCAAAACGAATTAACTACTTAGATGAATCAACAAATATCTGTGAAGAGAATGTATCAGACATTTTTCTAGACACTGAGGCTATATGTAATAGTGATCAAGATATAACTAGGCGCTCTTGAAACATTCTAATGAGAGAGACAGATCACTAATAAAGGAGCAATGAGTATTATATAATTTATGTGCTAGTAAGATAAAATAGAATAGATAAAGAGGATAGCAACTTACAGAAAATGAGGTCTGAAATTTTACTTTGATTATCAAGGAGATTCTGTGGGAAGTGTCGTTTGAGCAGTGTCCCTGAGGCCGTGAAGGAGTGATCCACATGGGAGCATTCTAGGGAGAAGCAACAATAAGTGAAAAAGCCCTGAGGTGAGGGCCTACTTTCATGGTCAAGGAAAATAGCAAAACCCCTGAGCTAGAGGGCAGCTGCGGTAGGCCATCAATAAAGTTGGGATTGGAGAGGAGCTGGGGCCAGATCGTGTCAAGTCTGGTTGGCCATGATATGAGTTTGGATTTTATTCTGTGTGACAGGACACCACTAGAATTTTATGCAGGCAAGAAATGATCTGACTTACATTTTAAAAATATTATTCTGGGTACTGTGGGGAGAAGAGATGACAGTAGAGGAAGCAGGAGACCAGTTAGGAGGGTGGGAAGGTATTCCAGGGAAGGGAGATGGTTGCTTGCTGGGGCCAGGGTGCTGGTTCTGGATGCAATGAGAAATAAACAGGTTAAGAAATCATTTTTAAAACAGAATGAGTTTGCTGATAGTTCGGTTGTAGGAGGTGAGAAAACGAGATAGCTTGGTCTCAGTAACTGGGTAAATGCTGGAACTATTTACTGACTTGGAGAACTCTAGGGAGGAGGAGGTTTCTGTGTTGGGAGTGGGAAACGCTTTTTAGTCATCCAAGTTGTCATGTCTGGTAGGCGATACGAGTCTGGGAAAGGTCAGGAATAGAGCTATCATTTTGGGAGCCTTCAGTGAATAGGTGGTATTTTAGGCCACGGAAATGGATGTGATCACTTCAGGAATGATTTTTAGATGGAGGAGGAAGAAGGATGGAGCCATATCACTTCAGTTGTTAGGGCTTTGTATTTAAGTATTTCAAATAAAAGATTATTCCAAATTCCAAAGTGAAAGAGATAGAAGTAGACAGAGCTACTTAGGAGGTTAAGGTCACGGTCGGTGTTCAGGGACCGACCTGCAGGCTGAGCCTTTCCCACACCTGCCCCAGATCCTGTTAATCTTAGAGGAACAAACATTGTAAAACCCAATGAGATCTGCATCCTTCCCAGCTCTGGTGGTCTGCCGCTCTCCTCTTGGCTGCCAAGCATGTGTGTTTGGTCCACCCCGACCAAAGCATCCCAGGTCCAAGGCCGAGTTTCATGGTTCTGCTATGTAGATAAACAGATTTACAGTTTTATCGTGGTTAGATTTGATTAGAAAACTAGCAGATGGAATTAAAGAATGTCAGAGCGAAGTGAACCCAGATATCATCTCTTCCAATCCTTTCCGCTTTTGAGAAGGGGATGATGAAGCTCAGGACAAGAAAAGGACTTGCTGAGTGTAACCCCAGAAGCCACGGACCAGGCTCTGCCACTGCATCCTCTGATGCACCATGTTGTGGAACAAATGTGTTGAGAATTAGGAATTCTTCTGAATAACAAAACTGTGCAGTCAGTCCAGAGCCTATTTAGTGAGTATCAGTGAGTGTCCATCTGTTAAAGGGCGTAAGCCCTTCTAAGAGACTATGCTGGAGGAACTTTTGATAGTTTGAAAGTCAATTCCCCTTCAACTTAGAGTTCTTAGTCTGGGTTCATGGGTAGGCCTCAAGGAATCATGGGCTCCCCAGAAAGTGTGTATGTATGTGTGTGCACATCTATTGTTTTCTGGGTAGAAGTTCTCAGGAGTTTACTAGTTTTTCGAAGGGATACATGTTTACCCACCCTTGAAAAGGGATTAAGAAAAATCTGAAAATCTTCATAGAACGCAAAGTGACTGACCATTGTAGGCAATGCATTGTTTTAATCATAGCAACATAGCTGCCTATTTGCACTAGCTAGTGGCCTAATGCAGATCTTATAAATGAGCTATTTCTGGAAAGAGCAAAAAATAGCAAATAAACTGATTAACAGTAAAAGAAGTACCTGTATGTTTTAATCTCCAGGAGATTCGTAAAATATAAGAAAACTTTTTACGCACTCAATGGTGTCATACCTCAGTATGCCAATAGCTTTTTGTTGTGGTACTGTTTATTAAATATTTACTGATACTTTTCCAAAGCCTTAATAAACAGGAAGCAATGACTGGCATTTTTTTCCTCTACCAACGACTTGTTATTTTCCTACCTGATCATCTAACTTATTATTTATTCACATTATAGGACCCTGTGGGTACTGAAATCCAACTCACCCATGCCTATTTCCTGTAATGGACGAACTTGATGCTAATGTGAGGTATGTGACAGTCCTGTGTGTATTGTGCTATACATTATGGCCATTTGAACTATGTGGTCTCTGTAAGAGAGCTAATGGGTGTGGATTTTCTTTCATATATAATCATGAGTGTGGTTCTGTTCGGTTATTAGTGTTTTTGTTTTCACTTCTGCTTAAAAGATTAATAAATATGGCTATAAATGTTTCGAGATGCCTATACTAAAAGTCTGCACTAAGGGAGATAGGTTATATGAAAGTAGATACTCATCTCTGTAATAGGAAGAAAGAAGATGTATTTAATAGCATAAAATAACTTTATATCATTTATCTGTACAGCTAAATGTTGAATATACATTTATCTATTTCTAGCAGTTTCTCATTTGCCCATGTCTTTTCAACCAGCTCATTAGATTATGTGACATGACGGTTGCGTGGTATAGTTATATAAATCTAAATGCCTTTTGTTTTGTTTTCCTGCAATTTCCTGCTGCCCTTGGAGATCAAATAATAGAATGGTTCCTGGGGAAGTTATTTCTTTAAGGGCTTGCTGCAGTTTTATTCGGCACAACCAAATAGCGGGAGGAAATTGTATTCAATAAGGCGTAAGTGTTATGGGTTGGCATCTGAGGCTGAAGACTGGCCGGAGATACCGATAGCTGGAAGATGTTCTAAAAAAATGCATTCCCAGAGTAATTGTAGGACAGATTCCTTCCCCTGAGACCTGTGGAAAAGCACATTTCAGGTGCACAATGGGGACACTGGGCCCGTGTGCTGCATGTAGTAGAATGCTGGGACAAAAGAGAGCTGCCTTCACAGAAACACTAGTGTAATGTGACGGGGCTTCCAAAGATGTACTAAACCCGGGAATTCCTTAAGGGTAGAATGTGTCTCACTCATAATCCCTGGCACATGGTGAGTACTTAGTACAGGGTTGTTGATCAGCCCGTCTTTGATGTTACCACACATATTTCAAATGGGGGTGAGTTCCATTACACCTTGATGTGCAAAGGGGCTCTGACTGCTCAGCAATAAAACATTTTACATTCGCAATAGAAGCATCATGGACTTTGTTATTTACCCAGCACACTGACTTGCGGCAGAGCCTTAGGACGAGTGCCACATTTTTTTTCTTTTTTTTAGAGAGGAAGGAAGAGGGAGAAAGAGATAGAAACATCCATGATGAGAGAGAGTCATTGATTGGCTGCCTCCTGCAAGTCCCCCACTGGGGATGGAGCCCACAACCCAGGCATGTGTCATTGTCCAGAATCGAACCTGGGACCTTTCAGTTCACAGGCTGATGCTCTAGCCACTGAGCCAAACCAGCTCGGGCGAGCCTTAGGATTTTAATGCAGATTTTTTAGGTTGGTGTCATGTTTTTAATTTTCATCTAAAAGTTTGTGACATTATTTTTGTCCCAAAAAAGCACAGTGGAATCTAGAGAATTTCAATTTGATTTTAGTTCATCCAGAGGCCAACGTGAGCAATATCAATGGTGAAAAGTTATGAAATTGTTTTAAGTTCTAGACACTTTATCAACCTGCATCTGTTGGTTAAAATGCACTTCTTTTGAGGTAATTCAAATAGTATGCTCCCTAACAGTTGTAGATTTTTAACCTTTATTTATAGCAGCATTGGATTCTAATGGCAGAACACAATTCAATTAAGTGAGCATTAGCCTTGGGCGCTGTCTATCCCGTATTGCTCAGGATACACGATGCTAATCACTCCCCAGAATCTTGTCTGTGGACCATCCTCTCTGTCAGATTCCTCGCCTGATTCCATCAACATGTGCTCATCCTCGCCCACTCCCCAGCTCCACCCACAGTATTGGAAACATGCAAATGCCACAGACTTTCCACCCATTTCTTCCTCAGTCCAGCCTCTGGGGGTGTTCATGATAAAAGATGTATTTTAGGTGCACATTTACCAAATTGTAATGTGTGGCTCTCTGGTGATGCATAATGATTTTAGGTAGTTTATGAACATGTTTTTATTTTAAAATATTTATTTTAAGGTAACAGTTTTATTGTGATGAGTAATACTGTTTTGCACACTTACGGTAGTGACATGGAATTTCCTTTAAAAATACATTTATTTAAAATAAAAAATAAGTGTATTTAAAGAAAATGTTATGTATTTTAAAAAATACTCATTAGCAAATGAATGTGAAAAAAAAATCACAAGAGTAGTATGCAAATGACCAGGGTCTAGAAATGGATATTCCAGTTTATAACGAGATAGAGGAAAGTTTATTACTTTCAGAGCAGAAACCAGAAATTCTTTTTTGGGGTAAGAAAATGTCTTCACTTGGTAAAATGCCTATATAAAGTATGAGCTGAAGGGCCCAAATCCCTGGCACAAGAGAGGAATTTTATTACATGCTCTCAAGATAGGAAAATGAGTGAGCAGGGAGGGAGAAGGTTGAAGAGACAAGGCTCTGAGAAGGAGAGTCTGGGCTCTGCTTGAAAAAAGGTGAATATCCAGTGTCATGGTGGCGGTAGAGGACCCTGGAAGTAGACGGGTTGCATATCTGCATTTGTTGGTTTGTTTTAAATGTGAATGGTGCGTGTGCTGACCTCTTCCAGGATCCAGCTCTTCCATAAAACTTTCTAGCCTGGCTAGCCATTGAGCGTTGAATGTTTATTATGTGTGAGGGCAACAAGAGCTGTAAACTTATCATGCATTATCCTGTTCACTTTTTAAAACAATCCTATGAGGCACGTGCCAGTATTATATTCATTTTATGATGTGTGGTGACCAATGCACAAAGAGATTCAGTAATCTGTTCAAGGTCATATAACCACACTGCCTCCTACTTCACTACAAACATTTTATGTGCATATGTATGGATGTGTGGGTGTGTATGGGTGAGAGGCCCACGTGCCTGTCTGCGTAAATGTTATTTACAAGAGAGAATGCAGAATGGGCACCCAGAAGGCACAGGATGGCAGAAGACTAGATAAACGCCCGGGGAAATTCAGAAATCTGAGCAAAAGTTTTTTATTTCGACCAGCTGTAGAATTGAGAGACTCCAGCCAGTTGTTCCCAGATATCAGGGGTCAGAGAGTTTCTAATCAACATTTAGAACCAAATAAAATGTCTAACATTTAAGCATTTTGTCAGGCCATCACAGCCACTTTTTTTTTGTTGTTGTTCGTTTGGTTTCATTGAATTGAGTTCGCTAATTCAGTTTGATCCTTACTATTATATATCTGTCAGTGTTCTTGGCTACAAGCATCAGAAATGAACTTGCTAACACATTCAAGGGTAATTTTGGAGAAGCTACAATGTATAGGCTCAAAGAATTAAGGAGAAAATGCTAGAGGACAGAGTTTGCAAATAAATAAGAACTTTGGGAATTCTCGTTGAGCTTGGAAGTGGAACAATGACCAACCCCAGGAAGAAGTGGTCAGTACATTTCTGCATTGTGGGTGATGATCAAGGATTTCCTCTTGTATGCTGCTCAAGAGACAGAGTTCTGGGGGATTACATCTGATTGGCCAAGCCAAGTCATGTGACCAGTTGCTGTACACCTTTCCTAAGGGAGGCAGGTACCATGCAGGAAGATGCCATACAAAGGAGGAAAGTTCAATCCTCCAAAGATTTTTTAAGGAGAGGAAATAGAGACTCGGTAACATGTGACCAATGTCCAACTTGTAGCAATTGGATATTTATCTGAGGTATTAGAATAATGTCGCTCCATGTTTGTTGTACATTCATTAAGCATGAAAACTGTGTGTGAGAGGGAGTTAACCTTTTCTTAAGGATCCTGGGGCTAGCCAGAGGATAACCACACAAATAGAATTTAATACAATAACAAAAGAACCCTAGTAATGAGATATACAGTGAGCTATATTCTCTCTGAACTATGGGGTAGGACTTAAAAGAATACTAGGGCTTGATTTTGGAATTCTGAGCTCATTGCTAGCATTTTCCTTGAAGGGCATCCGTTGTAGAGAGTAGGATGTAGGATGGATTGACTCAGGATGAGAAGCCAGCCGTGAATCAGGGCCTGGTTGGAGAGGCAAGTTCTGATGAGTCTCCTCCTTTGGTAAACAGTGTCTTGCAAACTTAAGCAGATAGTAGTCAGCTTTGCAGACAATCTGACACCCACCTGATGTCATTTTTTTGGTCTGTTTGCGTCTTGTTGGGGCTCTGGAGGAGACAACTGCATTTTTTTTGAAGTGATGAAGAAAGGAAAATGGAAACAGTGGCTTTGGTGACTTTTGAGCAGGAACTCTTTGTAGAACATTATCAGCCTGCATTTGGGCAGTGAGCCTGGTTGGACCTTACCCCAGTGCTGTTCCCAAGCCCTCAGTGCTACCGACTACAGCTTATTGCCTGACTTCAGAGATAGCCTTGCTTGCCTTTGTTTTGTTTTGGTTAAAGATCAGATGCTTTCCACTGACAAGTGGTTTTCCTCAGCCTGACAATGATCCCTAAAGGCAATCCAGGTCTCCATCCTTTTCTTCCTGCTGCTTTTTACAGCTAACATGTTTCTGCTTTCTAAGAAATCTTCTATCAATTTCCAGTTCTAGAAAGCACAGGGTTCAGGTAGGCGATAAGTGGAGGAAAGTCCAAATGTATACAGACTCTTTCTTTGACAATTTCTCAGGATAATAGCCCCAGACTCTGAGTGGAGAAAGTTTTCTCT